GGGCAAACCCAATATCTGACCGCATTAGAATTCTAAGTGCTTATTTTCGCTGATTAACTTTTCATCCATACTGAAAATTCATAACGAAGTTAAATTCATAATTCCCATAATACATACAACTACTACACGTTATTATATACAGACACAAACAGAATACACCAAGCTAATCAAGAATATACTGATGGTGGTCGATACCTTATTTTCTGCTGTATTCTGTCTTTCGATCGTCGCTCTTACTACTCCGTATAACTTCGCCCTCAACCCGTCATTGGTCACGACATACACAGAGTTCGCTTGTAAATATATATTCATCTCTCTCTTCAAGCAAATGTTCAGAGATAATGAAGAAGAAGTTTCGGTATTTTCAGATCTTTCATATCTAACACTTAGGAACATTGAGAACGAGAATTGTGACATTTATAGTTCAAGGTTGTGTGCATCACAAGATGGATCAGAGGACATGGACGATAACAAGAATTGTGACATTTATGGTTCAGGGTTGTGTGTACCACAAGATAGATTAGAGGATATCGAATTTTTTCCAAACTTCAATAACGATCCAATCTCAATATTTGGATTTTTAGATTTTGATTTTTCAAAATCTGAAACCATCCCTATTGGTGAATTTTCGACATCGAAAGACTTTCGGAGCTTCCAAGAAAATGATATGAAAGAAAAACTCAACTTTTGTAGTTCTTTCCCAACTAAAGAAGGGAAAAGGAAGAGCAATAAAATCGAGGAGATCCCGATAACAGAAATCAACAAGAAGCGCAAATTGGAAAACAAAAATCGCATTTATGAAGACCGAAGTTTCATGAATAAATCAATTTTAGGGCAAAATGAGAGGAGATGCAGCCATTGTCAAGCTAACACGACACCACAATGGAGAATGGGTCCGATGGGACCAAACACTTTGTGCAATGCTTGTGGTGTGCGATATAAATCAGGAAGGTTGTTTCCTGAGTACAGACCGGCAGCCAGCCCAACGTTTGATCGGTTAAAACATTCTAATTCTCATAAGAAGGTGTTGCAATTACAAAGGAAATATAAGCATAAGCGAATTATTTAGAGGGTTCACTTTTGAAATAGTTTTCTAGGTTTTATGTTTTAGATTCTCAAGCAAAGGAAATATAAGTTCATCTTCCAATTGCAAAGGAAATACAAGCAAGCATTATTGAAAGGATTTTCTTTGTAATAGTTTTCTAGGTTATGTTCCCATTAAATAGCACATAAATTTTGAATTTATTAGATTCTTTATTTAATATTTATTTCATTGCGATAAATTGGTTCCTCTTCTCAACTAAATTTTTTCCCCCCTCTGTATATTTAAGATTGGCCACTTTATATTTTTTTAATCCATTCACTATGTTCATTGGTTGGAAAAGCCTTAATACCCCGACTCAATGACCGGGGCATACACAGGGGCGCCATTTGTAGGATTAAGCGCCCGTTTGGCAGAACCTATATTTCTACTTTTTGTCAAAAGCTTCTTGAGGAAGTCAGGTTAAATTTTCAAAAAATTATCCAAACAAGTCCAAAATCAACTTTTTAATATCGGAAGCAGTTTTTAACTTTCAAAAGTCCTGCGTAAGGGGCCCTAAATGTGGTTTTGAGAACCCCCAACTCAAGTAACCCATGTTCAAATGCCGAACATAACGGGGAATTCACTTCAATGGCAACCCTTTCTACGAGACTTGGGTTCAGTTTGCCGCGGAGGACACTTCTCCATACTAAAGTTGAATAGAAATCCCCCCAAAATCATGTGGCCAATGAACATTGATCACGACTAGTGCAGACTTGGGATCATCGTGATGCTTCACGTAACAAGCTAGAATCGGCAATAAACCACATCATGATGGCACATTAGGGAGTTCAAAAACATGCCTAAGTTGCTAGCAAAAGCTGTCAACATGTGTATCGTGGCATGCATACATTCTTAGCAAGTGCAAGCAAACTTTGATGCTTGTGTCTAATACCTAAGGCCATCGATCAACAGCACACGTACAATTCAGTGATCATGAATGCCCCTCCGTCACAGGCCGCTGCCGTAGTATTTGAAGATATTTTATAGTTGGTAGGAGAAATAAGTAAATTAGATTGGAAATGTTTGATGATTTATGTGAAGTATATTTTGATGATAAAAGTAGTAGAGAACAATTTTAAATTTGACAAGATAATTAAAGGAGGAAATTTTAATTTATTGGAAACTAGAATTTTACAATGGCAGGAGACTTTGACAATGACAATGCTTTTAGACTTCTTCTCACAACAATTGAAGTGGCAACCAGAATACAAAAGTTGGTGGTATGTCTCTAAAAAATTCATTTTTTTTTTCCATTATTTTATTTTACTTGGTTCTTAAGGAATTCTAAAATTTTCTGATATTTTCATTATTTTATATTTTAATTTTGTTTGCTTCCCAAGAATCTCTAGTGAACATGGGCGGACCTAGAGATTTTATGCAATCCATAACTGTTTAACTTTTATCAAAATTTACTAAAAATTTGATTTTAATATCCACCAAACAGGGACAAAATCACAATAAATTTGAATTTCGATAACATGCTAATTTTAAAAAATCCGTCGACGATTGTACACTAATCGAATCTACAAATTGCTTATATCATCTCAAAACTTATTTCGAGAACTACATTATGGGCATATCGAATAGTCCAAACAGATATCGAAAATAGTTAAAAATACGTTAAACGTGAGTCTTAAAAAAAAGTCTAACTCGCATTTTTTAAAAAAATTCAANGAAAAATTTTAAAATAGTGATTGATGGGAGATGTGTGGTTGAAAAGTTTTAGATTTGTGTGTATTATTATTTTATTTGATGAATGTATGGTTGAGATGAAGAGAGAGAAAAAATTAATGTAATGTAATGGAAAATAATGGGGGCCAAACAGGGGCTGAATTTCGATAACATGCTAATTTTAAAAAATCCTCCGACGATTGTACACTAATCGAATCTACAAATTGCTTATATCATCTCAAAACTTATTTCGATAACTACATTATGGGTATATCGAATAGTCCAAACAGATATTAAAAATAGTTAAAAATACGTTAAACGTGAATTTTAAAAAAAACGTCTAACTCGCATTTTTTAAAAAAAATCAATTATTTAATTAACATTTATTATTTTTGCGATACAAATTTCTCAATGTAATTTTCATCATTTTATTAGGAAATTTTATATGGAATATGATATAAAAAATATTCGAAATTTTACATCCGAAAAAGTCATATCCCATGAAAAATTTCGAAAATTTTTNTAATTTTCATCATATTATTAGGAAATTTTATATGGAATATGATATCATAAATTTTCGAAATTTTACATCCGAAAAAATCATATCTAATGTAAATTTTCGGATGTAAAATTACATGGGGTATGATTTTTTGGACGTAAATTTTCGATTGTAAAATTTCTCTCAATTTCTTTGTAAGTTCGATTGTGCCCCCTCACTTTCAAGGTCTGCGTCCGCCCCTGCTGGTGAATCCTAGATAATTCTTTTAACCCTGAAACTTTTCATATTTTTCAAATTAGTCTAGAGAATTATAGAAATATGCAACAATGCTAATAATATTTACTGGTAAGGGGGCAAAGGACCAGGGCCAGTCAAGAAGGAATCAACCTTTAGCAGGGGCATTCGCCTGTAGGCAGGCTACGTAATGTGGTTTTGGAAGCCCCTAACTTGAAACTTTAGCTGTAGCAGGTGCAGGCCAACAGACTGCTTGCATTACCCTTGCAACAGCATTGAGTCCGCTCCCACTAGTTCTAGCGTGACACCAAGCTCCAGTTGTATGAAGTAGATGCAAGGGAAACGAGGATTTCTCATCTTCTCATGTTTGGATAACTCGAGCAAAAGAAGTATAGGAAATAAAATGTTAAAAGTTTATTGAATCATCCCAAATCTTACCCAAATAAGCGGGAACTCCATTCACTGGAAAAAATCTCTTCAAAACTGTAAAGTATGTTCTTAAGAGCCTTAATTAACTCTCTCTATGATTTGTACAAGGAAACTATAGCAAGAGAAAATGGAAGATTTTCATCTTCATAGGGTGATGGGGAGATGGGGACATCGCATAAGCTAAATGGAGCAAGTCATGTAGAAACTTTACTTTTACTAAGTTAACATAATTGAATTTCAAGGACTAAAACTAGCAAATTTCTTACCAAAATTCAATAATACAATAATTTGATCACCTTTTTGCAGATAATGATTCAAGCAGTGCGGGCTCTTCTTCCTGCAAATATAGCAAGATGTGTGTGGAAACTGGTAAGCTCCTGACTAGTATGTTCAGCAAGTGATGTTTGGCAGCCCGATCGTGACCAGTTCAAGCAGCTTTTGACCAGGTCGATTGCAGATTGGTCCATTAAGCAACCCAAACCGGTTTGAGCAGCGGGTTGCCAGTTTATGGGCCTGAGCAGCCGTTCCGATCTGGTCCAGTTTCAAAAACTGTGTAATATAAATAGATATTGGGAGTGTAATTTCTTAAATTTTTTTTTGGATAGCAAACGTTCGAATTAGAAAACTTTTATTTCTAAAAGAATTGTAGTACTTTGAATTACATTTCCAATGAGTTTTGAATCATCTCAATCGGATATTTATAAAGAAAGTTATGGCCAAAATACTGAGAGAGACGAACAGAAACGACGAGCGTAGTTCAAGGGCAATTCATTGCGTGCGTGGGGCACCCTACTTTCTCCAACCCGAGAGCCATTTGGTTCTATGGAGCGCGCGCGTTAGTTATACCGGTGCACGCGCACTGACCTTTTTCATAGACGAATCTTTAGTTTCCTTTCGAGATTCAAACTCTTTTGGAAATCAAATTGGACATGATTTTGACCTGTTTTCTGGCTCTTATAAATAGAGAACGATGGATACACATTGAAAAAACCTCTTGACCTCTTCATACACAATAGTTTTATCAAATTCATCGGGAACAAGAGGCTAATTGCTATATCTTGAGAGATGAGATCTAACTGTAACAAGGAATTGAAGGTCAATTATATCAAAATTTTGAAGAATTCAACCTTGGATTTGAAAATCAACATCTTTTGATTTATTTCATGATCCGGGTGATATTTTTTTATTATTTTTCTTGTAATTTATATATTAACACGTTAGGATAGATCTACTTTTATAGTGGATGAAGATGAACCCTATTTGTTTATTTGTTTTAATTCAAGACTAGTAGTTTATTTTATTCTTGCGTTTCTTGATTAATTTTGCATACCCATTGCATTATTTAATTGATTGTCCACCAATTAGATAATTAGTTTCTTATTGTAGTGTTGAAATACTCACAATAAGTTTAGAACGTAGCAAAATTAACATATGTGCAATAGATGTTAATAATAACATTTGTCACATGTGCAATCATATAGATAATCTAAATTTCAATGCATTCTAATAATTCAAATTCGGGTTAGAAATAGATTCGGGTCGTGGTTAGGATATATTTAATTTGTCTTGGAAAAGAAAATTATATATCATAATTTTATAGATTGTGAAGAACGCATGAATGAAACCAGTTTACAAATCAAGAATTAAAATAGATAGCAATAGGCGGATTCGAGATCCAATACAATCATTATTAAATTGATAAAAATCACATTTTTACAGCTTTTTTAGATTAGTTAAACATAAAATAAAATCAAACTCTGTTTTGTTTACATAATTCGAATCCCATAAAAAGTTAGTAAACTTGATTTAAATTTATTCCCTGTGGGACGATACTCTCAACTCATCAATTCTATTATTTGTCAATGATCTCGTACGCTTGCGGGTTTTGCACGAACAAATTTTTGGTGCTACTGCCAGGGAATAATTTAAGTTGAGTTTATTAGTTTTATAGTATTCGAATTTTTCTTTTATTTTATTTTAGGATCTTATTTACATAACTAATGTTTTTATTTATTTTTTTGACAATTTATGCAAGATTCTAAAGAAATCGAGCTCTTACCATTGGATCTCAAGATCGAAAGAACCTTCAGACAACAAAGAAAATAGCAGAGAGAAATAAGAGACATGGTAGAAAATCAAAATCAAGTTCAAT